ATATACCATAGACATTTCAGTGTTCCTTTCATAACTAAGACGAATTAATGTCAGTAGAACTCGTACACGAAATGACAAAATTAGTGCCTTGCTTATGAAAATCGTCATAAGAACTCATTAAATGGAAGTGACGTTTTGAAATTTAAATGCGTAATTACAGGTTTCAGCTGGAGTTGATTAAGTAATGGCATTTTGTTTGGTCGCAAATACCCGAATTTTGGTAATGACGTGCGTGGGAGAGCTCAATCGGATGGAACTGCCTTGCAGCTACAGGCTGATAATTTCGCAAAGGGAAATTGCCAAATATATTCGAGGCCTGTGCCCCCTCTCCTCCCCTGATATCGTCACAAAGTCGTGGCAGTTGATACAATATCTTGTGGATCTGATATTATATTTTTAGTATTCCAGTCATCAGTGGGTTTGAAATTCGGCAACCTCTGGTCTACACGTTCCTCCAACGGTTATCGGGCAGCTTTGGCACTCGCTGTGTTGATGCGAGGTTTATGTATGTGGTCGTTCTATTTAAACCAGAGCCATGACGTGAGCGCGTTATTTTTGTGGTTCCCATCTGGGGAGGATTGCCCCCCCCCCTCCCCCCCATTTTTTTTATTCTAGAATGCCCGAAGATATTTTTAATCTGCACTTCATATGTTACAAATTCAGTTCATATTGACTCTTCACGCAATGGAGAGCGTAAGCCTTTTCGTCGTTGTTATTAAGCTTGAATAATTATCACGTTGGGCTACGTTTACAATCGAATTTATCAGTTAGTGATACCTGTCTGTGCGTAACACCACGTTATGTCATCAAAAGTCAAATAAATGTTGGTTTTGTTCGTAACCCGAAGTTGAATACGTAAAATCAAGGCTGTAGTCCGTAACGGAATGCAGTTTTAAACATGCATTTTGCATGTGTGCATTCTTAATGCTTATAGAGAAGTTGCAATGTGATTTCTGTGGAAGCATTCAGTAGATAGACGTCGTTAAAACATAACCACGTTTTAAACGTAAAATACGGTTTGTTTACGAATTGTAAGTCTTATTGCCAAGAGAAATGAACGAATTTAAACCAGATATCTGTCTTCTGGGTTGTTGCGCCGTGTAGTCTGGTCGATGTTTACCAACGTTTCAGAGGTCATACTGCCTCCATCATCAGGGCGATGAGTATGAAGATTTCTGTCTTCTGGGTTGTTGCGCTGTGTAGTCTGGTCGATGTT